AACGTTGCCAAGAGAAAAATATAAAAAGTGTGTTGCCACACATATGTTGCAAAATACAAATGGGAAATATAATCACAAATAAAAGTTATTTGCAACACTCCCCTTGATTAAATTTCCCTCAGTCCTACACAGAACCTTTGATTGAGCAAGGCTTTCTTTTGCACACTCTTTGTGAACATGTCTGCTGCATTTGAACTGGAAAGCACATACGTAAAGTTTAACAATTTCTCTTCAACCTTTTCTCTCAAGAAAAAATGCCTGAGTTCAATATGTTTGTTACGCTCTGAAGTGACATTGTTTTTGGCTAAAGAAATGGCACCCTGATTATCAACAAATATGCTTTGTGGAAAGTTTAAAAAATGTTCTCCCACAATTTCTTAAAAAAAATTTTGGAACCACAGTACTTCCTTGGCTGAGTGGCACATTGAGAGGTACTCAGCTTCAACTGTTGACAATGCAGTCGTCTGTTGTTTCTTACTGCTCCATGAGACAGCTCCACCTGCTAGTAGCACCACATAGCCACTAAATGATCGTCTGTCAATCTTATCACACACAATCAAAATCACAAAACACTTCCAAATTCTTTCCTGTCTTTTGGAAAGTCAGCTTTAATTCCTTGGTCTGTTTTAGGTAACGAAGGATATGTTGTACACCAGCCCAATGTTCCTTGCTTGGGCAATTATTGAATTGGCTCATGTAAGTAGTCGCAAAAGCTAAATCTGGCCTTGTTCCTCCTCCTAGGTACAAGAGCCCTCCAACAGCCTGCTTATATTTTAATGCTCCTTCAGCATTTAACATGTTATCCTTAGTGGCTGTTGTATATTTCATACCTGGATCTAATGGTGTTGATGCTCCTTTAGCATCTTGCATATTGGTTGTTTCCAAGAATTCACTAGCATAGACACTTTGGTCAAGAGTCACACAGCTATCTTCCCTTCTGCTTATCCTAATTGAAAGAAGGTGATGTATTTCTCCCAAGTCCTTGATTTTAAATGTAGCTGCAATATTATCCTTAAATTCCTGAATGATGAATTCTTTGCTGGACATTACAAGAAGATCATCCACATACCACACCTACAATTAACTCCTTTTCTTTATTGAAGTAAACACAAGGATCTGCTCTGGATCTTGTTAGGCTCGTTGATTTCAGAAATTTATCGAGGCACATATTCCATTCTCTCCCAGACTGATGAAGTCCATAAAGGCTTCTCTTTAGCAAGCAAACTTCTCTGTGTGTGTTTTCTCATGCAGACTCACGGGTGGCTGTTCCACGAAAATTGTCTCACTCAGTCTTCCATTTAAATAGGCTGCAGTAATATCAAGTTGATGAACCTGCCAGTCTTGCTCAACTGAGAATGCTAATAAAGTTCTAATTGATTTTGTTTTTATTACAGAAGAAAACGTCTCTTTGTAGTCAATTCCTTCGACTTGGGTGTAGCCATGAGCAGCTAAACGAGCTTTATATCTTTCCACTTGTCCATCTTTGTTAAGTTTTTCTCTTGAAGACCCACTTACATTTCACAACTTTCCTTCCCTCTGGCCTAGGCACTATGTCCCAAGTTTCATTTCGTTTTAAATTTTCCAACTCTTCTTCCATGGCTAATTTCCATTTTTCTGCATCTGAACTAGTTAATGCCTCTTCTAAAGTTTCAGGATCATTCTGGAAAGCTTTCTTGGGTGTTGAGCCTTCACATTTCTGTTTCTTGGATTGTCAGCTGCACTGCATTCCACTTGTAATTCCATTTATTTCTGGAGGATTTTCTTCATAAATCTCTGAATTTTCCATGATATAATCCTTTGTCCATTTAGGCGTTGAAATTTGTCTTCTGGGTCGAGTCTCCTTTTCTGGTGTATCCTCCACATCCTTCTTTTCCTGTTGAGGAGCCTTCGTCTTTACTTTGTATTATCAACTTCATCATCTTGAGATGAATTTCTTTCAGAAACTTGTTGCAGGGATGCAATGTTATAATGTTTCCAGTCATGGAAGGTTTCTCTTCAAATATGACATCTCGGGAACAGATTACTTGTACTGGTTTCTTTGATGTAGAAATGCGGTACCTCTTCATCTCCATCATACCCAAGGAGATAAGCCTTTAGTTGCCCTTTTGTCCATCTTTCTCCTTCTCTGGAACTGGGACATGAGCATAGCAAGTCGATCCAATGATGCACATGTGTTTTATTCTGGGTTTCTTTCCCATCCATAATTCATAAGGGCTTGAATTAGGAACTGAAGACTTGCCTGTCCTATTCAATATATAAATTAAAGTACTGATGAACTCTGCCCATAGGAAAGCTGGAAAGTCCACTTCCTCATTCGAGTATTTGAGAGTTTTGGCCATTTCTAGGACTGTTCTGTTCTCTCGTTCAGCACTGCCGTTTTGTTCTGGTGTATATGGAGCTGTGAGCCTCTGGGAGATTCCATGCTTGTTCAAGATCTTGCGAACGGCTTGGTTGTCAAATTCTCCACCATTGTCACTGAGCATTTCTTTAACTGTATGCCCTAAGTTCTTAGTGTGAGCTATTGTAGAATTGAAGAAAAAACAGTATCAAAATTTGATGTAGGCATCTTTGAAGATTGCAAAGTAACGGTATTTCCTAAATGACTGATCAAATGGCCCACAAATATCTGTCGAGAACAATTCTCCAGCTTTTGTAACCGCTTTCCTGGTTCCAAACTTTAAACAGTGGGATTTTCCGTATACACACGCTTCACATAATTTCATATCAGACTTAATCTTAATATTCAACTCTTTCTCTACAATGGCCTTTACATGCTTTTTATCTTGGTGACCCCATCGTTCATGATAAAGTTGGAGAGTTGATTCATTATTCTCAGTCATGTTGATGTCAATGTGAGTTTCAGGAGTCTTCATCACGGCTTTGAAGAGATCCCCACCAGCATTTCTTGTTCCATGCAGAACTATTTCACCATCTATTTTTAAATAGCAGTCTTTAAATGTTGATTCAAATACACTGTTTTGATTTCTATCTTGAGATGCTAACACAGAAAATAGATTTTTACTTATTTCTTGAACATACCAGACATTTTCAAGATTTTTGATTTGATTCATCCCATTTACAATGGTCATTATCTTGACGGTGACTTTTCCAATTGCTGGTAATGACTTTCCATTTGCCACAGTGATGCTATGAGGAAGCTTAAATCTTTTGAAGTCTATAAAGTAGTGCCTGTTATTGACGACATGCTTCGAGGCCCCATTATCAATAAACCAATCATCAGAATTCGTTTCTGCAGAAAATATTGTATCATCTACAGCTAGAAGTGTCATATTTGCAGCAACACTGTTTTTACTTCCCTTGTTTGGCCCTATATGTGGACTGGGTTTCAGCGGTTTTCCATCAGCTATCCATTTCTTGCATGTTCTGACCCAATGTCCTCTCTGGTGGCAATAATTACACTTGCCATTGTTTTTCTTGTTAATAGATGATTTCCGCTTAAATTCCGGATTTGCTATCAATGCTTCCTGATCTGAAGTTTCTAAAAAATTTGGATATTTCCTTTATTCTCTTTCATGGGTGCACAATTGTGTGGTTAATTCATCTAAAGTTCTCTTTTCATCACTAAGAAGTAACCAACTCGATTTGAAAGTATGATAACTGGGAGAAAGAGTATCTAATATTTTACAAATCAACAGCATTTCTGGCAGCCTGTTTTCTTCCTTTTTTTTCAAGTCCACTGTTCAGTTCATTCCCCATAGATTTTTCAATTTTTGATAAATGAGCTGCCATATCAATCATTTGACCAACTGAATTTGAAGAACTGTAAAACATATGTTATAAAGTTGGTTATCGGACGAATCTTCGAATACTTTGTGAAGTTCCAGCCAAATGTCTTTTGCACTGTCAAATCTCATTACCTTTTGTAAAGTGTCTTCAGTCATGGAGTTCGTAAGAACCATCATAGCGCAATTATTTGCTTTATTAAAAACCTTCATATCATCTCTAAATCTCTTTCGAATCTCTTCGGCGGTCGCATGATCAGGCTCCTCTGGCTTCTTCAGTTTTCCTTCCACGACTTCTAAAGCGTTTTTGTGATAATTTAATACGAACTTAATTCTTATATTTCCAAATAGGCCAATCACTTTTTCTGCATAACGGCTGAACCATGATATCTTTGCAGCTTCCATTTTTGCGAACTAATTTGCCGACTCAAGTAAGGCTTAAGAACTGCCATATTAGGCTTTTACGAACTGCCCGGTAATGTTTATCTCCACTTTGCTTCATAAATTTTTCCCTGTGCACAGTTAGATCATGCTGGTACCCATAACCTAATGAAGATCTAACGTTAGGAATGGAGACAAATAAATAAGCACAGATTCATCTAAATTAACATATATTGAAACACAAAATGGCACAAGTACAGTAAATTCTACATGGTAAAGTAAAACAGTGACAACAACTAAAAAAACGTTGCCAAGAGAAAAATATAAAAAGTGTGTTGCCACACATGTTGTAAAATACAAATGGGAAATATAATCACAAATAAAAGTTATTTGCAACACTATAGATATTATTAAGCTTCTGTATGTGCTTGTATTAATAGTAATGTATCTATCGCTTATATTATTTTAGTTGCAGTAGAATAAATATGTTATTAGTGTTTAAATCTGCATCGTATTATTTATGGATCACATCATCATTAATAAAGTTTCGGAGACTCAACTGCTGCTATTGAGTGCACAAAAGGTAAGCTGATTTTGCTATCTTCATTTTTCAGTATCAGCTTTGAATAGTGTTTTGTCTGGCATCTCAAGCAAAAATTTGAATGGAAACAAAGAACCCCTTCATGTTTTGTTTTATAATAAATTAAACACTTGAAAACTAAATTATAACTAGAAATATGATTAGTTTTGTCATATATTAAAAATAATGAAAGAGTCAAAATAATGCAGCAAGCAGAAAAGCTTGAATATGCATAAATATGTCACAATTATGCATACATATAAAAAAATAATAAAAGCCAGAAAACTAATACTTACGTAAATTAATCTTTGATGGATTGATGACAACTAATAAATCTTCATGAAATGCATCATTTAAGATAATTTTTAAAAGATGTTCAACACAACCTTGAATAAAGTCAACATTACCTTTATCTAAAGGGAAGAAAATTTATCATTCTAAACAAAGTATATTAACTTTGAAGCAAAATATTGCAGACACTAAATAAATACATAAAAATATTTTTAAGTTGGTGAAACAAATACATAAATTAAATAAATAAAAAATGCTTGCTGCTGCTGCTTATACAGATTCCCAACACAAGCCACATAAGCAAGTCTTAACAGTCATGGTGTTTGGATGTTCTTTTACTCATTGTTTATCATACACTTTGAACATCAAACATAATAACATAAATTTTTGCAGCTATGTCTCAATTTTGGCAAGGAATAAAAAGATAAGAATTTGGTATCCCTCTTCTTCTATAACTTAGCTCTTGAAATGATTTTTGGTGAAAATTATTGTAATCACAAGCATCTGTAGTTCATGTACAGTTTCAATCTATACCCTTCAACATAATCACAGCCTTTGCAAACATTTGTATCAGCTGATAAAGATACATTAGATTTTTGAGAATTATTCATTTTATGAATTAGCATATTAGTTTCCAAAAGATAATCCACAGAACTAATATTAATTTCCACTCCAAAGTAAAATCATGCATTCTTTTTTTTCGAGGGGGGGGGCAAATTCACCCTTTCTTTCCACTGTTTTCCTTCAACATTTCAAATTCAAACAAGGGGATAAAATTTCCTAGTGGTAGTTCGATGATGAAATTCTTAAACTTAAAAGAGTGGTCATCCTCCATTATTAAAAAAAGGCTAGAACAATTTTCTCTCACAAGCAAAACTGATAACATACTTTGCAGGTATCAAGTCAGATGTAACAGAAGCAACTGTAGCTTATGAATTTGTCTTCTCAATGTTTACATCCAATCTGTGTAAGCACCGAACATACTGACATCTGTATAGAAAAATAATCTTGACGCTAACTATTTCCATTAACATGAAAAGAATTTGAATGTTTGTGTGTTATTATCTTTTTACTTTTCCATAAATTTTGATTTCTTAACTACGTCGAGTAAAAGGGGGAAAAATGTGTTTGTTGGTGAATGAAAAAATAAATTAATTAAATTAAAAGAATTAGATGCTTGCATTTTGACCAAAGCTGCAATCACCAAAAAAAAGAAAAGCATTAAAAAAAATTTGCTGAATACAAGTATCAGAGTCTAACACTGAAATGGAACAGTCAATGACATTGGTGGTGGATTTGCGATCCCAAAAGTGTTTCTACAAAGTGAAATTTCCATAGGTGGAGAAAGTGCTAGTTACTTAGCTACAAAAAAATGAGAAGCAATAATATCTCTAGCAACAGAAACTTCCTGAAAAGAAAAGAATTCTTTTACTCAAACACATGTTTGAAAAATTTCAAGTAATGAAATAGCTGGTGTTAAACACTCAAACTGTAGCATAGCCTAAATCTTAGAAAATTCCAGAAAAAGAGCAAAAGAAGATTATTTATTCAGTAAAAAGAAAAAAATCTGATGTGTAAATTACATGACTTCCTTGTACGGAATATTAAATTATACGCAATTTTTTCTTGCATTTCATTTAAACTTATTAGATTGAATTAAACCTACTTCGCCAACAGCACATAAACCACAATAGAATAAAGGCATTCTTTATAATTAACTCTATTTGTTTAACATAGCGACACTCTGGCACTAGGTTCACTTAACAGTATTATATTTCATTCATATTATAACTCAGAATGCACAAAATTTATATCATTTAAAGAATTATCTAATCGTTGCCACATGTTTATTCAAATACTATAACAATGCTAGAGCGATGTATAAAAGAAATTAAGCAAACAAAACAAAAAAGAAACAGTTTTTCACAGACGATTGAGTATTTCTCATTTAATTAATTCAGTTCTCACTTTGCGAGAAGGCAAAAATACATAAAAACTCAAAATACGTATATTAAAAATTACGAAGTAAATCTTAAACACTTATTTCCTCGAAAAAATTCCAGAAAGAATTAAGCATGATATAATTGGCAATAATAAATGAATGCGTTATCTTTGTTGTTGTGAAGCTAAGTTTCTCTAGATTGGCAACAAATCCAAATGTAAACATCAATGGCCTCCTCAAATCCAAATGTAAACATCAATGGCTGCCATAAAAAAAAGGCTTATTAGCGGCACATAGGCAAATTTTAAATTGATAATTCTAAAAAATATTTGCATACAGATTTACTAAAGGCATAAAAAAACTTAACTGGAAGATAAGAACAACATAATTCAATCATTTTTAAAGCAAAAAATGTACAATTTACAAACATATAAGAGTAAAGAAACTGAGATCACTGAGCCGGTAACAGAGTGGCTATATATATAAATATATTTATATACATTTGGTGCGACCGATTGCAACCAAAATACGAGGTGCACATCTACATGTTATAGCAGTCCTATACACAAAATTTCAATGCTCTGAGGCTACTCGTTTTTGAGTTATGCAAGATACATACGTACATACGTTCATACAGACGCCACGAAAAATTCTCTTCAGAATTCGTTTTAAAGCAGTTTTATAATTTTTTTTTTTTTTTTTTTTTTTTTTTTTTTTTTTGAGGAAAAGAGTGTTTTATTCTGTCCTTACATACAGATATCACGGAAATACATCGTTAAATTGCATTTGAAAGAGGTCAAAATGGGATATTTTCGTTGAAATATGCTGCCTAAAACTTTTCGCAATTACAATACTTCCTTTTTACTTCGTACAAGGAAGTAAAAAATCTAAAATCATATTTTTCTTGAATTTCAAAAATATGATACACTAATGATATATCTCATGCACTGCATCTATCAATTAATGCATGGCACCGCATCTCCCAAGAAATAACTGCCAACTAATTTTGACAAAGAAAATTCATTAAAGGCAAAATTATTGCAGTACAAGAAATAAGCAGCGATGACTCTGATGCATACAAATAAAGCTTCAATGAAAGAACTAGTCAGAGAAACCATCAAGTTACTGAAAACTTGCCTTTTTTAGACTTTGTGTATATAAACAAATGTTTGAGTATACATTCATGCACAGAAGAAATATCCAATGATGAAACTTTCAAACGAGTCTTGGACATAAGTGCCACAGAACAATCCAATTAAGAATAATGAGAACTATTCCAAGATCTATAATTAAAGTTTACAAAATAACTTTCCTTTTAAAAGAAAAATAAGTATGAAATAAATAAATGACAATTCTGCAATAATTGTCAGCATCAATTCTATATAATCATGTTTATCGAAATGTAGTTATAAGAGGAAAACATTGAATTTGCATTTGATAACACATTAATTAGAAACAGAAGACATACTATTAAAAGTTAAAAATTTTTTTGTGCATTTTGCTTGACAGAAACATGTAAAATCATAGCTGAGTAAAAAAATAGCAAATACAGTACAACCTAGATTATCTAAAGCAGGAGTGGCCAACAAGTCGATCGCGGTCGGCCGGTCGATCACAAGGCTAATTTTGGTCAATCGCTCGCAATGACTGGAGTGGAATTCAGTATACAATGGACTTTGAAGAAATTGCAGAAGATGAAACCTTTTAGCAATAGTTTGATGCATTCTGGAAATTTGTCGAGGTCATAAATTCCTAAAATTCTGACAACCCGACACGGTGATATCCGTCCATCCAGTACAATACATTTTAACTTATGTTTTCTTGTCACTGGACGCAATACGTGAACGCAACTGGCAGGGCTCGACTCATCGAAGAAAAGTCAGTTAGCCTGAATATTTGGTAGTGTCATACAGTAGCTTCTTTTCTTTTGTATAAACAGTATAATTATAAATGAATATTATTTAGCCTCAGTGACCACTTTCAGTTTCAATTTTTCTTCTGTTTAACATGTAAGTACCTCTACTTTGTTTTAAATCAAATTGCTTTACATATCTATTTATTTGACAAGTGAGCATTCTTGGCAACAGACCTCTAAACTACGGTTATTACACTAAGAGAAAAATAAAAGACAGTATTACAAATATATTAGGAATAGCAATAATTATATTTAAATTAAGATTTCAGTATTTAAACTGTAATAAATATATTGCAACTTTAACATGCTTCTTGCAAATTTGAATATATCGTTATTAGATTTTAATATACTTTTATTGCTGTGTCCGATCGTAGTATGCAGTATTGTTATTATCTTTTCCAATGTAATAGAGATGATAGCTGCAGTTCATGAGTTTTGAATTTTCTAGAAAAATATTTAATTCAATATTTATTCTTTAAATTGTCATATTTATTTGCATTCTAGTATACCCATGAACATGAGTAGTAAACTGAAGAAATCAAAAACTTTTCACTTCAATGAAAAATGGGAACTTGATTACTTTTTTACAATGTTGAATGATAAATGTTGTTGTTTAATATACTTAATATGGAGAGACATTTTTTAGCTTTACATAACAAGTATCAGATTATCCACCAAAATTTGAACTGAGAAAACATAAAGTTAGGGATCTTAAAACTCAATTAACAAACAAACAAAGCGTTTTTAAAAAATCAAAGGTGAAGTCACAAGCAATAACTACTGCACCATTCAAAATAAGCTATCTCTTAGCAAAAAAACTTAAGCCATTTCCCGAAAGTGAATTTGTAAAGGAAATATTTTTTGAAATGTCAGATTCACTTTTTAAGGATTTTAAGAACAAGAGTGAAATTGTTGCTGAAATTCAAGATCTACCATTGCCTCAAAACACAGTGATGCGACAAATTGAAAGGATAAGTGGAAATGCAAAGGAACAGTTATATAATGATATTAATAGATGTTCTTATTTTTCCCTTCAGTGTGATGAATCGACAGATATAAGTGATATGGCACAATTACTTATTTTCGTTCGTATGGTTTTTAAGGATTTTACATCTAAAGAAGAATTGTTGGATATGATTTCTTTGAAGGAAAGGACTAGAGGTGTAGACATATTCAAAAGCCTTTAAAAACTTGCTCAATGTTTGAAATTACCACTTTTTAAATTAGTCTCAATAACAACAGATGGCGCAGCTGCAATGATAGGT